GCAAATCCAGCTGGTACTGCTGGCCATTCGCACGACTACAACGCGACCCCTGTAATTACTTGTAAATTCCATGAAACAGGCCCATGATCCATTCTTACCACTTCACATTTCACTAATTGCAAGAGAAGCGATAAACGGTGTCAAAAATGATAAAGTCAGCGCCAAACCTACAGAAACGCTTCCTACTACACGATCGGGGGTTCTACAATCCGGGGTAGTACTCTAACGCGTAACGTCAAACAAACAGTGTCTGAGGCTCTGCGCGCGCGAAATTCAATTCAAACGAGGTAATCTTCGAGGATGGCCCCATATGGTGCTAAAACATGTGAAGCCCACTGATGGCCCTCCTGGCGTGATACACCTAATTGCATTTCACACGACATGAGGCTCTCCGGTGCGCCTCACTAAAAAGTCAGTAAAACATCACTTAAAATTGCAAATAGTATGAGATGATCAAAGTATGTCGTTATGGATTTCCCTAGGAATATAAAAATGACTTTGGTGCGGGAAAGTCACGAGGTCAACCTGGTGACGAGCCGCGGCGGTCAACCTGTTAAATGGTCCCTAATGGTGATGCCGACGGGATGGACGAATGGAGTGATCCACTTCCATCCCGACCGAATTTCCAGGTTTGTACTGGAGTCTTAAAGAATCTGCAGATGAGAAGGAGAAATTCGTTGTGAGGCGGAGGAGGGTTCTGTTGCTTCCCGACTTGCGATCATGAATTCCCCTCATGGGAAAATAGGATTTCTGCAGGCGAAAATGTACCGAGGAAACAAAAGACAGGAGCCGCTTCGCCGTCATGACATCAATTCATAGCCTCCATTCCGCATCGCAGTCGTGACATCAATTCACAGCCTTCATTCCGCATCACAAGGGGATGTGGTGTCCAGGGAAGCACGTATCCAAACTCTGATCGGTCTCGGCACTCCCGTGCGTGGCAGGCGAAGACGCGTGAGAGTGAGAACGTGAAGGCGCGTGAAACCCTCCACATTCGGCACCAGCCTCTCCTGCATGCAAGTTGTGCTGGGAGTGCGAGACTCTCGTGCACATGCCTCGTCACATGCCTCGTCACATTCCTCGTCACATGCCTCGTCACATTCCTCGTCACATGCCTCGTCACATTCCTCGTCACATTCCTCGTCACATTCATCGTCACATTCCTCGTCACATTCCTCGTCACATTCCTCGTCACATTCCTCGTCACATGCCTCGTCACATTCCTCGTCACATTCCTCGTCACATTCCTCGTCACATTCCTCGTCACATTCCTCGTCACATGCCTCGTCACATGCCTCGTCACATGCCTCGTCACATGCCTCGTCACATGCCTCGTCACATGCCTCGTCACATGCCTCGTCACATGCCTCGTCACATGCCTCGTGAACATGCCTCGTACACATGCCTCGTCTCTCACGGCTCGCACGTCCATGCATCTTCCACATGGCGAACTTCGCTAGAATTACTTAATTACCGACACGCGCACCTCCTTCGAATTCTTGAATGACTGTGAATTAACTGAAATTGAAACCTTTCACTCGAGTTACATGACTTGTGGAGCCAGAAAAGTTGGGGGGGGGGAATTAATAAAATTCCCCGTAAAACTTTTCCTGCACATTTGACATTTGCCTAAAGCCTAAACACTGACTGAAACCGTTAAATTGCTGAAAGGCCACTCCTCCAATGGCTAGATGCAGCATATAGGGTGAGTCAAAGTCCTGCCTACCTTTTGGACGCTGATCTAAGCTTGCCGGCTCGGAATGACAACACGCTTACACCATTCAAAAGACAAGGGATTTCTCTATCCAGAGATCAAAATAATTTGGCAATGTTGTCCTCATCGCCGAGAAAGAAAGTAAATAATTATTTTAATGTATTTTGAACACGTCCACCCTTAAATAGGCGCTTGGACGCAATCCAATTTATTCCAATTAAAGAAATTTGAGGGAAACGCGGGAGCAACGACTGACTACACACGATGGGCACGGCTACATTCCATTCACATTGCAATTATAATTGAGGTTGTCCATGGATCGGGCGTCGAGGACCGACGAAATCCTCTCTTCGAAGCCCCTCATCTTCCTTCTCATATCTGAAGCACCTTGTTCCCGCAGAGAAGCCGCACGATATCGAACACTTTAAAACTGCGATGAATCGTTTGTCGAATGAACGGGAGACGACCGCGTTCATCGCGCAACGCGTGCCTCATCTTATTGAACTTAACGGGCGGCAATGAACAGATTGCCTTTTTTTGCATTAAATTCACGAAATGTTTCTCGTTCAAAATGAAATTAAATCTTTGAGACCCGTGCGGAATGGTTTTGATACCCCGATTGAATTTCATGTCATATCGCAGTGAAGCATTGTCCCTCGCTCTTCATCTCCAGTAAGTTCCTCAAAAATAGAGAGATGTTTATGAATATTTATAATTAAACCGGAGTGTAACCTGATAACTCGGTCACGAATTACAAAGATCAGAAAGTTTGGACGCAACTTTCGACTCACCCTGAATGGGACAAGAATGAGAATCTCTGGCTGTTCTGCCACAGGCCATGGGCGTTTCTAACTTCTTTTTTTTTTCATAATGCATCCTCGATATTTTTTCCAAAAACGTGTCGGCTCCTTCGATGATATTAGAAATGGAAAACATATCGGAATGAAGGGAAAGTAGGCGATTTCCCCCCGGTGCGAGTCCGGCACGAGCCCACTGCATGTGCATGAGCCCACTGCCGTTCGTTTCTTCGTATGCGCTGCGGAAACGCGGGAAACCCGCGCCATTAGCGGATTCTTCATTCGCGATTTCGGTTGTTAGCCTGTAGCAGCGCAAAACACATTCCCGGCTCAAGCATTCGTCGCTTGTTTCATGCGTTTTTGCATAATATATTCCCGTCAAATCGTGGTTATTTTTGTGTGCCGGAAACCCATTCCTCCTTTTCCCGTAAGCCCTAAGTGTCGGCATTAGCGGTTTCCCTGCTCGCGGGTGTCTCACGAACGCATCCCCCGCGAACGATTCTTTCCCCCCGGATAAAATGCTTCCAGTGAATTTCTTCCAGAGATGTACCGGTCTGATACTTTTTTTTTCCGGGGGAAGAAATTTACCAGCTTAACATGTATAATGTTCCCTCCTCAGGATATATATTTCCCCTTTCCCCTGCGGATTTCGGTCTGAGTCTTATCAGGCGCGGCAGTGCCTCCCGCTCGTTACCGTCAATTCATGTGTTTTCCGCATCCCTTTTTGAATTACGGGCCGATTTGTGAGTCCATCGCTTCATGCGCTCATACGGGCTCCGAAAGGAAACCCATCACCGCAATTTCCGTCACCCGGAATGCCGAATAACGAGATGGCTGGCCGATGTGCCTTTCCAACATAAATTAAAGATGGGGGACGGGAAAGGGGGACGGTGGCATCGTTCGCCACGATGTCGCCTTTCGCTGCCGGGAATTGAGGCATTCTGGGATACGCTTCCTCTAAATGACTTCATGAGCCTTCATTTCTTATTATTCATTTCTTTCCGCTTCTTCCCAGGCATGACTTCCGAATATGAGACTCAATTTTGGCGCTCGGGCTCCAGTGTCTTGTCGCTATTCCAAGCAGAAGTTCCAGATTTCGTCACTGTAAATTAAAATAACGCGCTCTGCAACGATCGATACTCTGGCATGGCCGGTGAGACTAAATTACAAGAGGTATTCATATTCTCATTGGGAAACCTTATCGCTACTGATTGAGAGAATTTGTCCCCTTCGGAAAGGTTCGTAGTGGTCGATACGCAATCGATTACCTTGGGCAAGGATTCCTAAGCGAACCAGGCTTCACATATATTATTTTAATTCTATTAATTATTTCCGCTGCCTAACATACAGTTCCTAATGCAAGAATATATTAGAGATATTAATAATCAAACAATGATCTAATATTCTCAGCACAACCAAACAAGGCGACAGCTTCAGTTCGCAAAAACACAATGACGTTCTGAGAAAGATGAACAAAAACTAGCTCACCATCGATGCAGCAACGCTCGCACATTATCTCGTGATTTATTGAAATCACGGCTAACACAAGAAATCGAAAGGGGTTGCTTGGGCTCCAACCGTCGCACGCCCACTCTCCTTGCTATTTCTGATCGTTCCTTCCGGCTTGAACCACCAAGGAACAGGATCTGGCTCCAACCGGATCCGCCCAAATCTGGCTTCAACCGACACTTAGGTACTCGACCCAAATCGAATAGAAATAAACAGATTCCAGATTACAAACGGGACCATAGTCTCGACACTTGGTGACAGTAGCGAAGTCTGGAACACTCTGCCCTCTCACCTCCTCCTCTTCCTTCCTCCTGAAATTCGAGGTCGAGTTTATATAGTGTTCCTTCTCATTAGTCCATGTCACGGCAAGTCGAGCGATGAGTATCTGGATGATTGGACGAATGTTACCACATCAATGATAATCCTTTAACGAAGTGGTTCTCCGGACGAACGTCGATTCCTTTTGACACACGTCTTTAAGCGCCATAGATCAAGAGGTGTCATTCCTTTACTCACACCCCCGTCCTCGTCTACTCGGTACACTAACGCCACTGAATGACGAATGGACGATAGAATAATTAATATTGTGTTTCCATTATTCCTGGGAACTCATTAGGCACATAAGAATGGAAGATGATTAGTCACTGGGGTGCTACCGTTTTTCACAGGCACGAAATATGGGATGAAGATTAACACACATTGATAAAGCACTTCTGGCGAAAAATATATTTCGCGGGAGAGAGGGAACATTCATTTTTGATCTCCCCGAAACTCATGGCGGATCTTCCACGAGTAGACGAAGCATTCATCGAGAATGCCACGCTACGAGGGGAATTCATTCGCCATCACTCTTCTCCCTCAAAATGTTGTTCATTCGAGTAAATGCCAGGGGGCTGGGGTGCAGCGCCTCTATTGCATGAGCCATTTCATTTTATAAGCTTCTTCACCTCTTGGACCAACATCGTCGAGCCCATTGACACTTAATGACTTGGACGTTCCTCTCCAAAGAGGGATAAATAAGGACTAAAGAATTGGAAGGGGTGGAAAGTGACCTCGAGGAGAGGAAGATGAAAGTATGAGCCAGTGAGGCCAAGAGAAAACGCTCCCAGCACTCCTGATTCCCCCGTGTTAATACCTATATCTAGGGGCACGAGAGGGTATTTCTCATCCTTCCACTCCACACATTTCTTTTTGATGACTTCAAGGATTTCCTTCTTTTTCTTTTCGTTAACCTCAGGCACATCTCCTTCAAGGCCTACAAATGGAAAAAGGACGAACATGGACGAAAAATATTTATAATGATTGTTTATATTCCTCATTCCTCAAATGTTGGTATGGGGTCATTCCACGTGAAATCGACAAGTTCGACCAGCTCGACCGTCTCGGATTTTGACGAAACTTGGCATACAGATAGAGGAATCAATTTAAAGGAACACTTCAACCAATGTTTGATCTCTCACACAGATCTTCAGACACATGGACTTTAATGTGACCAAATTCTCGTTCCCAGTTCCCATACGGACTGGAATTGTGAAACTGTTTCTGCAATAACTTCACCTCTGATTAATAGGAAAACGTCATTCCTGTGTCATTTTAATAGTGAGATTGTCATCTTTAAAATGACTACTGACATCGTTCTCCTAAGCTGAAACAATACGATTCACTTGATGAAACAGTTTGATCAAGTTCAGTGACCAATATCGGCAATTGCCACCTCGTGAATTCTTTGTTTCAATATTTCTTTAGAAAGGGGATCGTATGCCATTTTTTCGATTAAAAATTCGATATTGGCACTCAATGGCTTGACGAGATATGACTATTTTTGCATTCCATTTGGGCCAAATTTCCACTTGTTTGAGCGCTGTGACCGTGTTTAGTGACCGACACCTTAACTTTCACTCCATGCATCCGGATTCTACGGCATCATTAAAAAAAAGTGCCTGCCATGCCATTTCTAACGATTGCAAATTAAAGGTTTGCACTGAAGTGGTTAATGAGATATTGCCGTTTGACGGCATCGATAGTTCATTTATACAGTAGTTGCAATTAGGAATGGTAGGAACATAGGCCAATGTTATGTTTTCCTAGCGTCCTAAATTACAAAATATTTATTTTAAACAGTTGCAAATTAATTTCCTCACTACATTGGTTTTAATTATTTCGATAATTACCTAATAATAAATCAATTGAAATACTTTCTTGAGAATATGTGCAATATTTTGCGATTTTGCAATATAGGAGCATGATAGAATTTCATAATATAGCTACAAATCTGCAATAATTTCACCTATTGAATGGCTTGCCACAATGCTATCAATACACTCCTGGGAGAGTACACAGGAACACCAGTTCTCGTTAAATTGTCCTGTCATGAACCGACTGAGCGCCAATATTCGGTTTAGTGTCGCTGAAAAGAACATAACGTGCACTTTGAAGAGAAATATTATAACTGCAGATTCATGTCTGGAATAATGCATATTTTATTCCCTAAAATTGGTTCAGCTGTTCGATCAATTAGAATGTTGGCATTGCTGCGAGAAATAGTCATTTCTAGTGAAGTTATTATATGATGATATTAAAATCTGAAGCGTTAGAACTAGTATTAATTTAACTTTTTAATGAATACACCAACTTTAAATTAATTATTTTAGTAAATTTAAGTCAATTGAAATACTTTCCTGAGAATATGTGCAATATTTTGGGATTTTGCAATATAGGAACATGAAAAAATTTCATTAAATGACTACAAATCTGCAACAATTTCACCTATTGAATGGCTTGCCACAATGCTATCAATACACTCCCATGATTCCCTGGGAGAGTACACAGGAACACAGGAATAAACCCGGACCTCCTGATTGTCAGTCGGATATGCTACTACTGCACCACCGAACCCAGGACATTCAGTTGAGTCCCTGAATGCCATCTTTATCTGTCACAAAATATATTTAAAGAAAACGTTTCCCCCAAAAATTAGTTCCCCCAGGGCATGCACCTCCAAAGTCGAATTTTTCTGAACTCTGCATCCCAAATAGTACATGTGTACCAAGTTTCAGTTTTCTAACACTTCTAGAACATGGTTAGCATTAGCGTCAGTCAGTCACTATCGTTTATATATATTAGATTAGAAGTCCGGATTCATGGAGTGGAAAGTGCAATTCATCTCCGTGTATGGCGATTTTCGTAAAAATACGAAAAGGTCGAGCTTTCTCGCTGGTCGAATTGGCGTGGAATCAGTAGCAATATTCTGCAAGGTCCTGCAATTGTGCTAAAGTCTTGAACTTCAGGAACTTCACAGATATGAAATTCAAAGAAATTGAAAATTTGAACCCTTGCAAATGGAACAAAAATCTTGCACAATTCATTCAGAAAACGATTGATACATGTTCCCGATTATTCGGCGAAGCTTTGCCCATTTGCAGTATGAAAAATGGTTAAGTTTCAGAACCCTTTCCAAAACGACATCAGCGGATTTAACTACAAGGGTTCCAAAGAAGAAATGTGAAGGCGGATTGGAAAGGAAAGGATGTTGACCAGTGAAACCAAAAACGACGCCAGGGGATTACTTGTAGCACAGTAGAGACATTCCAACGTTCACGGTTGGCGAAACTGTGTTCTACTGTCACCTGTTCGTAGGCCCGAATTATTGGTATTAGAATGGTGAAACGCCCGGACGCGCGGTCGGATGAAGAGAATGCCTCTTACCAGTTTCTTGACATTGGCAGTGGACGCGCACTCCCAATGAACGTAAATTACGGGTCACATAAATCAGAGCAGCGAAAAACTCAAGCCAACTTAATACAGTACTTTACTTTCCATCAGCCCTTGTAGCATTCAGGGAAATTCAGGGTATTTCTGCCGAGAGTATGGTGTAAGATAAATTCCAAATCAAATGGTCAAAAGTTCTTCACTTAACCAATCATCAGGCCGATATCATTACCTTGAACCTTCTCCGTTTTGTCATTCACTTCATTTACTTCTGAAGGAACAATGTCACACGTTCACCTCTGGCAGTCGAATTCAATGGTACCGTCTGGCCACATTTATCTGTGTACGGTTACCTCTTCCATTAACATTCCATTGAGTAGGGGATGCATCCAGTGAAACATTTGTTACAGTCCATGTGGAATAAAAGAACTACCACCTGGTTGATGTCATCAAGGAAAAACACCCGTACGTAGGTCCTTAAAATAATGTGTTCAAGGATTTTAATTACAACATAGCACAAAAAGTTACATCAGAGTCCGAAGCAGTTCCGTGAACCTTGCCAGCCGTTTCATGACGTCGATCGATCTTCGTAAGGGGCCGCGTCGCACTAGAAACAACTGTGTGCTTGCCAAAGCAAAAACTAGTTTCAAATGGATATTGGCTAGAAAGTTTGGAGTAGAATGTGAAAAAGGGGAAATGAATTCACTCGACTCAATGCCTCCAACTACTTCTGTTTTGATATCTATTCACAATCGGCAACGAGACATATCTCCAATCCAGTACCGTTCCAGCATAAAGGTTGACCGATATCTCCCCATGGATCTTCTCGACAGAAATTGTGAGAAGGATGCAAGTCATCTGGGAATGTGGGAAAGATGTCAAAATAGAGAGATTCCTGACTATCTTCTTCAAGGAATTTAAGCCAGGGCTGACATGGAGTGCCGCTGATCGTCACATTTGCCGTTCCCATATATTCATCTTCCTGATCTATGCACTCCGCCGGACCTGTGAACAGTGAAAGTGCAATAAATCCCAACATATATTTGAAATTCGAAGGAATGACCATTAATGGAGTACAAGTAGGAATCGATGACAGCCATAGGGTACCCAGGAAAATATATGTTCTGAAGAACTCACTAACGCATTCTCCCTCGACACGAACAATGCAAGTTGCGTCATCGCTTCTAGAACAAAATGGAACGTCACAATACTCCCATTTCCATTCGTCCCCTTGACTCTCGTAACACCCAGGACCATGAGAAGCGATAGGATTGCGACAAAAGTTGTTTGTCGAGTCCATGTCTTCAGGGAATGGGGAATATATCAAGGCAGTCACTTGTATCAGATCGATTGGAAGTTGAAGCCAGCGTGCACAAGGTCTGCCCGACAATGTGACATTAAGTCTTCCGGCATATTCCATTCCCATTCTCGTTAGCTTGCAATTTGGCGGTTCTAGAAAAAGTAAATCCTTGCTGAATGGAAAGAGGAGAAACGGCAGGAAATGGAATGACCAACGAACCCATATCGCGGCAGAAGGGAATGTCGCAGTACTCCAAACGTCATTGCCAGTAGGAGCTGAGGAGGCCTTTTCTCCATCGCCGAATTGACAGAAAGGAATGTCGCAGACTTCATACTCATTGGATACAATGCAGATGGGAGCGTAGGAAAACCCTAACAGGTTGTGGCAGTAGTTGTAACTTTCGTTGACATTATCGGAATCCCGGAAAACGCCTTTCATATCATCTAGATCAATTTGGTCACATTCTTTCTTCCAATGTATTCTGAACCCCTTTGTGTCACCTTACATTCAGGAGGATCTGTTGGAGAAAATCGATGGAGACGAACTGCTTTTGAACTAATGTCGATTTAAAAAAAAAACAGGTTGAAGGAGACTACAAGTGAGAGTCTACGAATGTAACCATTTAGTTTGATATATCTCTTATGTATCCAAAAGCAATACAGTGTTTCTCAGGAAGTTTCGCTGTCACTTACATAATACATTTATTATTACATAATACTCGGCACAACGAGCAGCACTCTCAGTACCTCCCTCAAAATGGACCGCACGCGGAGCATAATCTTTCTTATCCCCTTTTCTAATTCTCGCTCCCAGTGCTGCTAAGCATGGCAAGACTAAGTTGCAACCCTGACTTGTACCCTTGAAGGACTGCTATATCACGAAGTCCCCCGGAGATGGTTTCGCACACAGTTTCATCACTTCAGCGCAATGGCCTTAAGGAGAAATATGTCCACTTCTGATGCATGTCATATTTGGTATTATCAATAATAATTCCTATTTGTGGAATCATTTTTCCGTTTTCTTACAGGTCCTACCATAGATTACCTCAGAGTAATCCGTGAGTCTGTGGGTTTGATATCCATTGATTCTACTGTTTTTTTTCCTCCTTGATTTTAATACCTGAAGCAAAATGTCGCAAAGGAGCTGCATGTTGCCTTCTTCTCCTTTCAAAATGATTCCCACACATTGCATAATATTCGGACCCCTCCCATAATGCCCAGCTAGCAAGTGCCTCTCCGAATGACTCAACCATCTGACAACCATTGGTGAGAGGTAGCATAACTCGTGGTCTTTGCAATAAATGGATGAAATCCCCAGATTCACGGATCACTCTGACAGACTTGGATGCAAATGGAAAAAGTGTAATTAGCACCAAGGAAATCTTATTGATGAACCACCATGGAAAAAATTATTTAATGTTCGTCAGAAGTGGTCCTATTTCCCTTGAATGCCGTACAAGGGAGAAATGAAGAATACCATCCACAGGGAACTTTCTGCTGCAGCCGTTGTTTCTAGCGTCTCGGATATATCAATAGTTCCAATCCGTGTTGCCAGGTGATCTTGCCAATCTGGGCGATAATAGAGGAGTGGAAGAAAACAGGGAGTGCAAAACGTTGCGCAATGCTTCCGAAGCATTTTCCGGAAGGGGCAGTGTATTTATTCGCTGATGCCCAATTCCGCAAGACGTGCGGAACACACTGAGAAAAAAACATTACAGATCACCCACGAACCATGCATTCCTTTCTCCAAGGGTTGTCAAGTGGATGCGTAATTCGATGTGGGGCATGCTCGCTGGGCGGTTAGGGGGGGGAGGTTAAATACAATAGTCAACGTATACGGATCATTTTGAAAATAATACAAAGCATTATGTCGCTCGTGCGAATTATGCAGCAGGTGAGAAAGTCAACAGGAAACCCTGTAAAATCAGGCGGCTATGATTCGAAGGTACGAAAAAACGTTGGATGACCTGCGAAGTTCATATAGTTAATGCGAAGGACAGCGAAGTCAATATATTGCACCTTCACCATATTTCCCTACATAAATCGGCATCAAAAGCGTAGCAGAAGATATCTAGTTTCAAGGAGTAACCTTTCAAAAAATTAGAATGAATGGAAATACAATGAAGTGAATGTATTGTAAATTAAACTCCACAGGCCTACACGTAATACGCTAATGATAGCGATGTTATGATAGCCTATTGAAAATGATAACAGGCTCCCATGAAAGCTGTATCTCCATGCATTTTCCCCCATTGTCATGTATTTTTGGTCTTACACATGCTTCAAACATTCCATACCTACCTTTCAGTGCATAAAGTACATTAAGCAAAAAAAGGAAATATATTGAAGTGATTCACTTGTATCTGTGCAGGTGGGGATATCGCAGTATTCCCATTTGATAGAGTCCTCGACAAAGCACCAAGGGCTTTCCCTCTGGGTTGGGTTCCGGCAGTAGTTCATTTGAGACCAGGAGTCAGCACCAAGGAAATTAAACTCATATTCAGAAAATTTCTTCCTCAACCTATCTTGTACTGCGTAGTATTGAAAGCGTTTCGCTGAGGCACCGACATTTTCGTAAAAATCATCTGGGATTCCAGATGGCATGGTGTCCCACCTAAGGCATTCCCTTCCAGATTTCGTCTTGTTCATCGTCCCGATGTATTCTCGTCCCTTCTTCGTCAACAGGCACTCAGGGTACTTTGCGTTCCCTGCGAATAAGGAACTACCGAATGAAATCACCAACTAGGGCATTTTCACGAAGAGACAACATTGTTGAGCAAACTTGAAATATTTAAATATTGATGTTGGTTTTCGAGGGTACTTTTCAGAAACTAATTTATCATTAATTGTATGTTGCGCCACGCTATGGCATCTTCAGTGTTTTGCGGGGGGAAACCTTATTATATTCTCTATACCCGGTAAAATGTCACTCGAATGTCCGATATTTACTGAGAAAAGAGGATCAGGTCTTGAGTGAGAGGAGACCAAACCAGTACAGAGGAGAGTCTACATATCCAGCCTTAAACGAAAGAAGTGGTTAGCTTCGAAACAGTGAATGCTAAGAATTAACGTAGTAGGGTATCTGGATTAATGGAGAATGCTTAGACCCCTATAAGTATAAAATTTGTTCAGGTTCATGGAAAATGAAATATTATTGAAGGGAAACTCTCCACTTTCCAATCTAATTTTTCGATGAAGAGGTAGATTTTCTCTTCCTTTAGCATGAAGTTTCCTTCACCTAAGCGTAAGCGTAAGCGTAAGGGTAAGTGTAGGTCTACAACGACCCTATATCATTAGCATTATTGTAAGGCTTCGAATTATGAACGTGCTTGTGTGGTAATGTGTCCGCTATATAGTAAATAATACTTCATAATGTTTTTGCCTCAAGCAACACTTTTTGGAGCCTGTGTCGCATTCGTGACTTAAGGCCCCCATATTATCTGATCATGAATAAAGAACGACTTGCGCCTGAGTCCAAATTTACATCGCACCCGGTGGTCTTAGTTGAATTCATCACAAATCATTTGCTCAGGATTTCTTTTATCTGACCTGTACGAAATTGATCGATATGGCAATGCATCACATTTTCCAAGAAGGTATTCTTTGGGGATCTTATCTCATGAAACGAGGATCTCATGAAATAATGAGTAAAACCGATTAGTATGAGGCTATGACACTTCGGCGCAGAACACATTCTAACTCAGCATTCCTCAGATTGAGCTTACTTATGTCAGCTGAATTCACCACTAATCAATTGAGGCTTCGATGAAGTCATCGCAATCTTTTAGCCTTTCTAACAGTCAATATCCTCCACTTCAAAATAACCTTCAGTGAAACTATATAACTTACGTATACAGGCGGTGCCACTCTTGAAGGTCGTCTCCCATTGGGTGCACGGAGGCAGACAAAGTGCCTGGTGTGTCAGAGATCCGTCAGAGAAGTACATAGAGCGATCTGCGGAGCAAGTGAAGGTGACGATGGCTCCCTCAGGAGCTGGGTACTGCCCATCCCAACCCCGAAAGCTCATTTCAGCTCCTGGGATTCTCGGGTACTCCACCACGCACACATCTGAGGTGGAGGGTATCGGGAAGAACCAGTAGGTATTGCATAACCTTAGATTGTACCTTCTCGTTATAATGTGCAGGTCTCCCAATCAACATGAACATGTAGTTGACACAGAAAGCAATCATCTAGCAATGACGAGGTAACTATTTTACTGTTGCCACCATCAAAACGTGGTTTCCACGAGAACAGAAACGCGCCCTAAATTGAATGGAATATATAGGGTAAGTTGGTGGAATATGGACACCAAAAATGAAATCAGGTTTTGCGTCACGTCTAGGTGAAATTAAACTTTGCCAATATTCAGAAAATATTGATTGATGGAGTACATTTTTCGAAAGAGGGAGCTGTAGCAGGCGGATTGGCTACCATGAAGGAAAATGAGCCTTTCTTAAG